CCTACAAAAAAATACTAAGGAAAAACACAGGTATATACAATGAACACAGAGATATAAAAAAGTGAATAAATAAAAATAAAATTCTATGTTTACAAGCTTGAGGAAGTTTGAATTTGTAGTAGGTGGTGGAATATGAGTTCTGTGAAGGAGTTTATGGAGATGGGTAAGGAATTCCAGAAGGGGGAGGGCTATAAAAATAGAGAGGAACGAGAATATCGTATCGCCTCTCTCTCCTCTCCAATATTTCGAAGAAAAAAATAAAATCGAAATCAATAACAATTAATCTACATGAATGAATAAAATATTTACTAAATCTAACAAAAATCAGTAATATTAAAGAAACAGAAAAAGTCGGCTTTCTGGCTTAGCTAAGGCATACAAATAGGTAGTTAACCACGCCATATGTTCCAATTATGGAAATCTCAAGGCCGTCAATTCTAATGTTATGAAGGTTGATAACAGATATCATTTCGTAGTAAATAGCGCTAGAATCAAGCAGTTGGATATCTTGGATTGCTGGAAATACCTAGGAGCGAAATTTTCGTTGAACAACATGAATGCCGAAGGGATTATCGATGAATTATCATTATTGCTGCACAAAACAAACACTGCACCCCTAAAACCTCAACAAAAATTAGTGACTTTGAGAACTTATCTCATCCCGAAATTCATTCATCTCCTCACACTGAGCCCAAGCAAAATGAACGAGTTGAGAAAGTTGGATATCTCAACGAGAGCGGCAATACGTTCCTGGCTGCGACTGCCTCAGGATACCCCTACTCAGTATTTCCATTCTGCTTGTACTGATGGTGGTTTGGGAGTAATGAGCTTTAGCAGTGCTATACCCTCACTCAAGCTCGCGAGGTTACGACGTATGGAGTACTCTGGTTGCCCAGTAGTAAGAGCCGCCTATCATTCCTCCTTTATCACTAAGGAAATGAGAAAACTCACAAGCAACCTCACGAAAATGGGCCTCAACGCGGAAAACACTTCCAGTGAAGAACGAAAGAAAACGCTGTCCATGAAGTTATATCGTAGCGTTGATGGTAAGGCATTAAGGGAGTCAAAAAACTGCCACCCATCAACTCATTGGTTGACAGACTACGCGGCTCCGATAACCGGACGGACCTTCATACAGACGGTAAGAACTCATATAAATGCCCTCGCGACCCGAGTGAGATTATCCAGAGGACGTAGGGCTTTTATGCCGACCCAATGCAGAGCTGGGTGTCCTGCAAGCGAAACTGCCAGCCATATTATTCAACATTGCATTTTGTCTCACGGTGGTAGAGTGCGCCGGCATGATACAATAGTGAACATGTTGGAAATTGCTCTCCAAAAAAAAGGATACAGGGTCACAAAGGAGCAAATGTTTGTTGGTAATAGACGAAGGTGGAAGCCAGACCTGGTGTGCTCAGGACTAAGCGGACACTTCATTATAGATGCACAGGTCGTCGGGGATAACCCTAGCACCACTCACTGGAACAATGTCAAATCCAATAAATATAGGGACCTAGATTGCAGGATGGCGATCGGGCGTACACTGGGAGTGCCAGGCGTGGACATAAAAGTACTGCCGCTCACAATAACTTGGAGAGGAATATGGTGTCGAAGATCTTTCCAAGACATGGATATGTTGGGAATTCCCAAGAGAACGATGAACGCTATTACAATAAGAGTCCTTAAAGGGTCCCACATGAATTACAGTAATTGGTTCAGGCTGCTTCCTCGTTTATAGCATGATATTCAATGATTATATCGATGTCATAATTTACATTTTTACGTTTTGTTTTATTTATCTTTATTTTTATTTTATTTATCTATTTATTTATTTCATTTTTTATTCGTTTAATTTTATGTTTATTTATTTATTTATTATTATTATTTTTTTATTTTATTTATTTATTTTATTTTATTTATTTATTTATTTTATTTTTTTATTTATTTATTTATTTTTATTTATTTAGATATGTACTATAGTACTACTTTTTTATGACTTATATTGCGGAGGGATTGCTACCTCCGTGGTTTTTAAAATTACTTTATATGTAGTGTGTATTTTATGTATGTATATGAATGTATGTATATTTTTCTTTTATACTTTTATCGACGCAGCTGCTTTTTGTATGTAAATGCAATGCTCAGTATATTATAACTTAATATTAGTATGTTTTCTTTTTTTTTTTATATATGATTCTTGGATTCCAATATCCAAGATAAAACGTTACGATGGTGAAGGTAGCACCAAATTGAATTGGAAATTGAGAAAGGTCTGGAGTTTTGTTACTTCGAAAAATATATTAACTATGTATGAACTACCAAATAAATAAATAATGTTCCAATTATGGAAATTAGTTTACATTTCCTGGAATTTTATAATTCATTTATGTAGACGCTTCCATTTTAAGTAAAGATTTGATCATACTTCCTGCGGTACATTTGATGCAAGGTATAAGTGAAGGTTCATTTCACTGCCTCAAACCTTCAAAAATATAAAAATATGTAATATATTCAGTTGCTTTCTTAACATATTTTCAAATTTATCCGTACAAAAAAACAAAAAAATATATATATTTAAACATGTACAGTGATGTGAAAAATTTATCGACAGACCAATTTTTTATAAAAATAATAAACTTTCCGTTTTAAATGTGTTTTTATCCTCCTGATTGTAAACTAATTTAACCATGCAAACATTGTAGATGTAATATATATACTTAAATTAGCATTCATTTCAATAAATAACGAACCAAGGGATCAATCCGTTGTGTTGACATTATTTTGTCCTCTGAATAATGCTAATTTATTATTCGTATTTCTCTATTTTGTTATCCATTTCATTATTTATTCTATACTGCTAATAACGAGAACTGATCTAATATTAGTATTCTTCAGGTTTTTTTTGGTAATTTAATTTAACATTCCTAGTACCAAAATTTCTTTTTATTTTCTCGGTATTTCTTTTATTTTAAAAAATGGCAAAAGATCATATAATAATAAAGAGTGAAGACTGAAATGGTAAAATTAGTAAGTAGTGAAATATGAACAACAAGGTAGGTGTCCCTGGGCTCTTTGTCAATTGAAATTTGTACTAATTTAAATATATATATTACATTTACAATGTCTACATGGTTGAATACGTTTAAAATTAAGAAGAAAAAAAAACTTGTTTTAAATTGAAAAATAAATCATTTTTATGAAAATTTGGTTTGATCGAAGATTTTTCATCCCGCGGTATATAAATTAATTTTTATATATAGTATTTTGTTTATTTTACAATAATTATCTTTATTATGTTGATTATCACCCATAAATTTTATACATAATATTAACTCCCGAGACCTTTTTTTGAATTGGTCCGTTGTCCACCCTCCCCTCACTTCTCTCTCCCAACCAGAATGAAAAGTCTGCACCAATGATTAAAATATTGTTTTGCTTATGTAAAATTCATTTAGAATCAATAAACTTTATGTGTTTACTATACGAACTGCTAAAACGTAAGTGTGAGGGACTTAAGCACCTTCTTGCGTGGTAGGCGCCAATTTTATTTTATCAATATTATCATCAAGTTGTGAGAGCATGGCCAGTTTTTGAGCTATTACAACATTACTAATTTTATTATAAAAAAACTAGTCTTTTATGATAAAATATAATCATAGAATCTATTTTGGGACTCACATATCATACTATAAAATAAGTGCAGTGCTTGGTAGAAAATTTTTATCAGGATATAGCACTTTATATATTTTCCACAACTTACAATTTAAATACTCCATCCAATCCCGTCCTACTAGATCTCGCACTCCCGACCTCTACCTACTTCCTCACTAAACAGCTGCCTTTGACAAATCATTTGCAATTCAAGCCGCCTCCTTCTGGAATTCCATCCCTGCTGATATTCGACAATCAGTTTCCTCTTTCAAACCTTTCCTCTTCAAGCACCTACTCCTTTCTCAATCCTCCTGATTACGAAATATACCTAAGAGAGTTATCAAAGTACCCTCAGAAAATATTTCTGTTATTTAGTTTTCTCTGTTTATATTATATATATATATATATATATATATATATATATATATATATATATATATATATATATATATATGTACGCTTTTCATGTCTTTTTCTCTCTCTCCATTTGTATTTTTATTTTTAAATAACCAATGTTGCAAACATATACTCTATTTATGACTACATGCACATGTATTCAGTACTTGTAGCTTGTCCTAAAGCACGGGCAGATCTACGGGGGGAGGGGCTTTCGGGCTGAAGCCCCCCCCCAAAATGGTAAAATATAACCATGTTTTATCGAAAAAATATTTAAAAAGTATCTCTTAAAGTATTATTGTTCGTGTAATTACATTTAAAAGGGCTTTAGGAATCACTTAAACACCATTTCATACAGGTAGCTTGTTTCTTTCCAAAGTAATTATTGTTATTTTTATGAAAAAAACAACTTTCGGGCTGAAGCCCTCCCCAAAATTAAATCCTGGATCAGCTAGTGTCCTAAAGGGACAACAGTCCCTTTTGATATTTTGTTCAAGATCTCAGCTGAAATCATACCTGCTACTAATTATGGCCCCTAAGTAGATTTATTTCTTCACCAGTTCTTCGTTGCAGACCGATTGGATATCCTCTTCTTCATAGTTACTAATCTTTCCATTCCATTAGGGCTTGCTATGGTTTTATCTTTGAGTTGGCTATTAGAACAGTGTCATCCGCGTATAATAGGCACTGGATGAGGATGCTCCTCATTTTCCATTTTGAATTTACGAGGTATCACTTCTTAGCAATATTGGACACTAAAACCTTCTCTATAGGTATATTTCATAATGGCGCCAGTGGCTACTACCTCCTTCTGAGAAGTATACTAAACTCTTCAGCTTCGGACAATTAATTAATATATTTATTATTGCCATTAATATGTTGTTGTTTTTTCAGCGGATAGCAGCTTCCTGTTGGCTAACGCCCAGATAGTCGACTTCCCGATCGTCTATTGCAACGAGTCTTTCTGCAAAATCTCGGGTTACAACAGAGCCGAGGTAAGCCTCTTATATCATTAAAATAATCGATCAAACCATATCGATATTTAAATAGATGTGTCTAATCTAGAAGACAAATCGTTGATACGATAGGATAATTCGATTGATCGAAGATTGTTCCGTACCCGCAGGTGATGCAGAAGTCTTGCAGGTGTACTTTCATGTACGGCGAGCTGACGGACAAGGAGACCATCTCGAGGATAGACGAGATCCTGGAAGCCCAGCTCCACGACCAGTTCGAGATCCTCCTCTACAAGAAGAACAGTGAGTATTGTAGCTGTTGATGGCCTCTGGAATGCTATTGGTAACACATTGGCACTAATGTCACATCTTGATCCATATTCAATTCTATCTTAGTTTTTTTATTTAATATAACATACCTAATTGATTGTAATCTCGAATTGATACATTCAAATTGTCAAGCCGTGAGGACTTTACGTTTCAGCACACTGCTTCAAGCAAAATAATTACTTTATTCCTAAGAGGAGCACACAACCCTCAGAAATTCATAACTCCATAAAAATGTGCTTCCATTAAAAAATTTGCATCCCCCTCTTACGCACTCCTGTTCAATACGCCTCCGGGTCCACTATATAGACAAAATGGATGGTTTAACACAGTTGCAATACATTTTCTTATAACTTCATTTTCAACTCTGACTATTTTCGATGATTAATGCAACTTTTCTCAGGCTATTTTAGATTTAAAGATAAAGATAATAATAATAAAATAAACACGTGTTGCAGTGCACACGCGTTAGCCCAATCGGCCACTTTGCCTCTTTTTTCATGTAAAGTAATAATAGAATATATATATATATATATATATATATATATATATATATATATATATATATATATATGTATATGTATATCGATTATTACTTTAGAAGAAAAAAGGGACGAAGTGGCCGATTGGGCTAACGCGTGTGCACTGCAACACGTGTTGCCCAGCAACCTGAGGTTATATTACATATATTTATATATGTTTATATGCTATATTAAAGATATTTATATGTTATATTATATATATTGTTTTTAAAAAAAGCTTTCGGGCTGAAGCTCCTCTATCAACCTCCTCCCCCCTAAAAAAATCAAATTCTGGATCCCTTAGTGATCCCAGCTGTTCACAAGACTCATGACTTTATAGTTAGGAGATTTCCATTTATGACGTAATCATATCTTTTCGAGCTATTTGGTTATTTTAGTATTAAAATTATAACTTTAGTGAAGAAAAAGTTCTCCAGCACAAAAAAAAAAAGAAATGGTGCTATACTAATTCACTTAGCAGACATTTTTTATTAAGGTATAACCTAATTAATATTCTTATTGCTTTTTTTACGCCACCTCACGTTTAAAAGATATTTTTTAGAAGTACTGAGTAATTTTTAAATAATCACTTTTTGTTGTTGACTTTGTCTAAGTTAATTATTTTATTAATTAATTATTGTCAGAATATAATTTCTTCTTTTAATTCTACCATCAAAATATGATGTAGAAGAATTTGGATCTAGATCGTGATGCCTATATTTTGAGTGGTATTTAACACTGGCTAAAAACATCAGCTTATGTAAATATTCTATACACATTTATTTTGATTCATTTAGTAACAAGACTCTCTGTGATTGGCTGGAACTGCAACAGTCACACCTGAAGCATGTTAAATATCACAATTATTTTTAGTAAAAACATATATTATTAAGTAAAATATTATTTATTTTGTTATAGTATTTTGGACCCATTGAAGAGGTTTCTTTTTAAACTACTGTTATTGCTTAGTTAGAAGTTTAGAACCTTCGCCTTTACGAGAGTAGATAAATGAATGCTGTTGTGATTGTTATAATTGATAATTACTTGGTAACATAAGTTAACATGTAATGTACCAGCACTTAATGGTAATGTAAATATGCTGCAAGATAGATATCACTAAATTAACACAACTTACAATGTATAAGTATAGCTTATAATATGTAACACTTCTAATTCTTACTACTCTATAGGTACTAGAGTACTTGTAATTGCTTTTTAAACCTATCAGCCTTTACTTTAACATACCGAATTATCGGTGCTTAATCGTTGGCTAGGAAAACTTTTAGGTAATTGTGCAGAATCGTTAATTACTCAGGAATTCAATAAAAATATTTTTAAAAAATACATTTTATCGAATTTTATACTTAATATTATCACGAATTTTTATATTATTGACATCTGCATTTATATAAAATCCTTTAAGAATGAAAAGTAACTACTGTGTCGACATTACTCCCGAAAAAAACTAGTTCGGTGCGTGTATTACATAACGTTCACTTACTACTCTATTTATGAGGGGATTAGAATAACAGAAGAATCTATTACTTTTAATTGTTGTTCAGAAAGTGAATATTTTGTAAATGTACTTAAATAATATATTTATATAAAATACTATCAACCAAAAGGCGCCAGCAAGAATGACAGAGGAGTAGTGTAGTCCAAAATCGGTCTTGGTCTTGCACTTCACTTTGCATGATCAACACCAAGACGGCCTAATTGTTGCAAGACTAAGACCAGGAATAATAAAAAAATTTTGAATAAAAATTAAGGCAAAATAGTTACTGATACTTGACAATCTTAGTTACTTTATGTAAATAATTGGTATAACCAATATACTTTTGCATTCAACTTTGCTAATTTTAAATTCGGGCTGAGTTAGGTTTCTTCTATCTAAAAAATTACATTAATATCTATATAATAAGCTAATAAGTAACTGCAAGACTGTTGCGAGACTCATGCGCAAGACCAAGACTGAGTTTGAAAGACCAAGACTCGTTTCGATCTCGCATTTGGACTGAGCAACACTAGATCAGTGTGTTTCATACTTTCCTACCAACAGTTTTGCTAAGAGTAAGTTGAACATTAATATTATTTTTGTCGTTATCTTTATAGTTAAACAAGTATGTCTATTACTTGTGGTCTATTACTCGTGATACAGATACCTTGTTATCAAATGATTGAATAGTTTCATCACATCGTAACCTACAACTATTTTGTTTACGAAAACTCTTGGGATTGGGGCGTTTTCAATCTGGAGGGGGGCAAACGTTGTCTATTTAATTAGGTCTTAAAAACTCGTAAATAGCCATTTGCTTTCTACTTGGATCTTAAGATAATTTGATCACAAAGAAGAGAAAAAATGTGGCCTTCAAAAATGTTGAGCCGTTTAGAGTGACCTACACCCCCAAAGTTATATATATTCAAATTAAAGGTTATATAGGACAAACTGCAGAATATTTTTGTAGGTCACCTTATTTGTCGATATAATGATCAATTTATCTTACGGTCTAAGTAGAAAGCAAATAAGTATTTACGAGTTTTTATTACCTAATTAAATAGACAAAGTTTGCCGACCTACAGAATGGAAACGCTCCAATTTCGAGAATTTTCGTAAATAAAATAGTTGTAGGTTACGATGAGATGAAACTATTTACGAAGTTTCAGGCTTATAATTCGATAAATAGGGGTCAGTACCACGGAATATTATACCGACTCCTGTCCATTATTATAACAATTGAATTTCGGTGTGTCCACTAGTGCAAAAAGGTGTTTTTTTTAGATGGAGATTTTACCTACATATTTTTTTTTCTATTTTAAAGTGTTAAATAGAAAAAGAAGAACCTATAGATTCTAAACGCCAAACGGAGAAATTTATAACTATAATAATTACGGCGGCATAAGCCAATAAAGACAAAAATTTCCTTAACTATGTCCATCACTGGTGTGCTTATCCTATTATGATACATATTTAAAATATATTTTATGAATCTTTTTGTTAATAATTAATTTTTCTTAATAATTTTCTCAATATATTAATATAATTAATATAACTCAATATATTAATGGGACCAGTTAGTTGGACGATTCTTGCAAGACAAGGGGATCATAGAACGGACCATTGCACCTTACTATCTCTCGTTGATTGGACAAGCGAAACGTTATGCGCACATCCTAAAGAGGTCATTGAATAAAAGGGGGGCCTGGTAAACGTTGTGGCAAATTGAATGAGTTTCATGCGACATTACAACAAATCATAACACTATGATTTCCATCCAAGCTTGTAAAGAGAGGAAACTGAAAATAAAAATATAATTGACATAAACAAGAGAAACAGAGATGTGATATATGATATGGAAGAGGATGTAGTTAAGAAGGAGGAGTTGAGAAAGTTTAAGTCCCCTTGAAATAACGATATCATTTGTCTGTGTCGCTGCGGATTATAGCGCTCTGTGTGACTGCTATAATGCAATAGATATTAACACAACTACATCGCCATATCCTCGCTGACAGGAGACATTTCCCATTCTGTGTTTAGGATCCTTTAAAGTTTGTGATCATGTAATGAAAAGTAATAACAATGATCGAGTTAGATGATTGTAAATGATTAGAGTTGAAAATCGTTGTAAGTAAAATAGAACTGAAGAGAAAGATCGGAGAAATGGTGTGCATCATCGAGACCGTCCGACGCAATGAGGATCAGCTGGTTAGAACACCATCGAAATAAGGGTGGAGTTCACTTACGTATGTAAAATACATTTATATGTAAAATACAGTCGCGGTCATAGAAATAACATCACCCAGTAAATTTTTTTTTATTTACCATATTGCTATCTGCAAAATATTTCGGATATTTTTTTGCCAGTTTTAAAATAATAATTCTAAAAAAAAATCGCACCATTAGGCGGTCAAATTGTTTGTTTATTTTTTTTCTCCCCTTAATTACTGATGTCTGTGACACAAATTGGGTGCTCCATGCGTAATAGCTGCTGTGCAATAAATGAAAACATGTTTTTCTATAAGCAGTAGCGCGAAAACGGCTCAAACGATTTTGATGAAAATTTCGTATAATATAATAAATGTCCTTTCAATTTTCGTTCATGGACTAAATTCCCAAGAAAATATAGGAAAAAAAGTTATGATGAAAAGAAAAAAGTTTTGGATATATATTCTATGGGTAACTAGCTAAGTATATATTCTATGGTAAAATTTATAATAAAACTTTTGAAAAGTAATGAAATATCCTACAAAACTATATAAAAATTGTTCATTTTAGACAACTATTAACGAAGTTTTTCAATTTCCAATGTAAGATTACGGGTTCATATCCTGGTGTAAGAAAGGGGTAAATGAGAGAAAAAAGTAAGAAAATGTGTTGCCCGCATCACACAAGCTTCACTATTTCCACTACTTTTAACAGAAATTATTATTTGACAAAATTAGGCTATAGCAAAAAGT